GGCCAATAATTACGTTTTATAATATGTCTGTTTAAAAATTGTTTCCCAAATCTCTTCAGTAACTTACTCTCCTAAAGTTATACTACATTAAATTAAGTGATGGCTATTCATTGTATATCTAGATCATTTCCCAACAAGATAAAATACTGAAACACATAATTGCTGAACATAAGTTTACCTACTTTTGTCTTCTTATTACAAAGGAACTAGAGATATCTGGATCTGTTAGTAAATACATCCTTTGCCACTTCAAAATTGTACTCTGGGGCAGGGTACAGTGGCTCAGGCCTGCAATCCCAGCACTTTGGGAGACTGTAGCAGGAAGATCACTTGAGGCCAGGAGTTTGAGGCTCCAGTAAGCTATAATCATGTCACTGCACTCCAGCCTGGGCGACAGAGCAAGACCCCGTAGTATTGAGAGATGACAATGTGCTAGCAGCCCTCATTCTCAGCGCCTCCTCGGCCTCTGGCCTCAGCGTCCACTGTGGTGGCGCTTGAGGAGCCCTTCAGCCCGCCACGGCACCGTGGGAGCCCCTCTCTGGGCTGGCTGAGGCCGGAGCCTCCTCTCTCTGCTTCCGGGGAGGTGTGGAGGGAGAGGCGCCGGCGGGAACCGGGACTGCGCTCGCGGGCCGGTGTGAGTTCCGGCGGGCGCGGGCTTGGCGAGCCCGGCACACGGAGCGGCCTGCCAGCACCGCCGGCCCAGGGCAGTGAGGGGCTTAGCACCCGGGCCAGCAGCTGCGAGGTACAGCCGGGTCCCCCAGCAGTGCCGGGCCGCTGGCGCCGCACTCAAATTCTCGTAGGGCCTTAGCTGCCTCCCCGCGGGGCAGGGCTCAGGACCTGCAGCCTGCCATGTCTGAGCTCCTCTCCCTGCGGTGGATTCCCGCGCGCGGCCTGAGCCTCCCCGACGGGCGCCGGCCCCTGCTCCGTGGCGCCCGGTCCCCTCGACAGGCCAAGGGCTGAGGAGTGCAGGCGCGGCTCGTGACTAGCAGGCAGCTCCGCCTGCAGCCCTAGTGCAAAATCACCACTGGGTGAAGCCGGTTGGGCTCCTGAAGTGGATGGGGACTTGGGGAACTTTTATATTTAGCCAGAGGATAGTATGTGCACCAATCAGCACTCTGTACCTAGCTAACCCAGCGGGGACTTGGAGAACATTTCCATCTAGCGCTCTGTGTCTAGCTCAAGGATTGTAAACGCACCAATCAGCACTCTGTGTCTACCTCAGGGTTTGTAAATACACCAATCAGTACTCTGTGTTTAGCTCAAGGTTTGTAAATACACCAACTGGCATGCTGTATCTAGCTAACCTAGTGGAGACTTGGAGGGCTAGCTAGCACTCTGTGACTCTGTGTCTAGCTCAAGGAGCTAGATGTAAATTAGCTCAAGGATTGTAAACGCACTAATCAGCACTCTGTGTCTACCTCAGGGTTTGTAAATACACCACCAGTACTTAAGTTAGCTCAAGGTTTGTAAATACACCAACTGCATGCTGTATCTAGCTAACCTAGTGAGACTTGGAGGGCTAGCTAGCACTTGTGACTCTGTGTCTAGCTCAAGGAGCTAGATGTAAATGCACCAATCAGCACTCTGTGTCTAGCTCAGGGTCAGAATACAACTACTGGTACTCTGTATCTAAATGACCTCTGCATCTAGCTAACTAGCACTCTGTGACTTTGTGTCTAGCTCAAGGAGCCAGGGGATGTAAATGCACCAATCAGCACTCTGTGTCTAGTCTCCAGGGTTTGTGAATACACCACCAAGTACTCTGTATCTAGCTAACTCATCTGGTGCATCTAGCTAACTAGCACTCTGTGACTCTGTGTCTAGCTCAAGGATTGTAAATGCACCAATCAGCACTCTGTCAAAACGGACCAATCAGCTCTCTGTAAAGTGAACCAATCAGCTCTCTGTAAAATGGGCCAATCAGCAGGATGTGGGTGGGGCCAGGTAAGACAATAAAAGCAGGTTACCCGGGCTAGCCTGCGGCAATCTGGTGGGATCCTTGTAGTTGCATTAATTTTCCACTTTTTACAGCAAATGTTGTTGGTAGCTCTTTGGGTTCACACTGCATTTATGAGCTGTAACACTATCAAGGTTTGTAGCTTCACTCGTAAAGCCAACCAGACCACGAACCCATTGGGAAGAATAAACAAACAACTCCAGCCCTTGGGTCTTTAAGAGCTATAACAGTCACCACGAAGGTCTGTAGCTTTACTCCTGGTGAGAGCAGGAATCTGCCACAACGAAGAAGCTCCAGACACATTTGAACGTCTGAAGGAACAAAGTTGGGACACACCATCTTTAAGAACTTAACACTCACCAGGAGGGTCCACGGCTTCATTCTTGAAGTCAGTGAGACCAAGAACCCACCATTTCCAGACACAGTAGTACTAGTTACTGATGAGGTCAAGGTGGGGAGGATCACTTGGGCCTAGGAGTTTGAGGTTGTGGTGAGCTATGATGGCTCCACTGGGCAGTACACCAAGACCCTGTCCAAATAAAATTATACTATGAGAAAGCACATATTTTTAGAAGTAAAATGATGCATTTATGGATTTATCAATCTGCAGAACGCTGCTGTAACAGTTTGTGACTGCTTACTTCCTACTTTTCACTAGAAATTAAGGTTACTAAGGGTTAAGAATTTTAAGTATATGTAGTTAAAACTAGAAATTATAAGGGAAACTTTGTATGCAAAATACAAAAGAAAACGCATACTTTTGGTTAAGAAACTTACAAAGCATAAGAATTTTTTGGGGGTAAAGGAAGATACTAATTTTGTCTAGTTTGGAGGTTATTTAAGGTTGTTTCAGAATGAAAGAAGGAAATGGGAGGTGCAAGAGGAAAAGGAAGGCATTGCTTAGTGAGAGCAAAGCTATACCTAGATAGGAGAAATAAGTTCTGGTGTTCTGCACATCAAGGTGACTATAGTTAATACAATGTATTATATATTTCAAGACAACTAAAAAACGCTTTTTTTTTTTTTTTTTTTTTTGACGTGAAGTCTCACTCTGTTGACCAGGCTAGAGTGCAGTGGTGTGGTCTGTGCTCACTGCAACTTCTGCCTCCCAGGTTCAAGCGATTTTTGTGTCTAAGCCTCCTGCATAGCTGGGATTTCAGGCACACACCACCATGTCCAGGGAGGTAGGGGTGTGTGTGTGTGTGTGTGTGTGTGTGTGTAGTAGAGAAGGGGTTTTGCCATGTTAGCCAGACTGGTCTTGAACTCCTGACCTCAAGTGATCCAGCCCACCACCTCCTCCCAAAATACTGGGATTACCCATGCGAGCCATCGTGCCTAGTCTAGAATTTCTTTTTAGAGACAGGGTTTTGCTATGTTGGTCGGGCTAGATTTGAACTTCTGGGTTTAGGCAATCCTCCTGCCTCAGTTTCCCAAGTAACTGAGACTATAGGCATGTAGCACTATGCCTGGCTAGAAGAGAGGATTTAAAATATCTACTGGGTACGGTGGATCATGCCTGTAATTCCAGCACTTTGAGAGGCCAAGGCGGGAGGATCACTTAGGCTCAGGAGTTCAAGACCAGCCTGGGCAACATGACCAAACATGTCTCTACTGAAAATACAAAAATTAGCTGGGCGTAGTGGCATGCACCTGTAATGGCTACTAGGGAGGCTGAGGTGGAAGGATCAGCTGAACCCAGGAGGCTGAGGCTGTAGTGAGCCATGATCATGCCACTGCACTCCAGCCTGGGTGACAGAGTGAGACCGTGTCTCAATAAATAAATAAAAATTTTAAAAAGTAAATACTGTCACTACAAAAAAATAAATATTTGAGGAGATATATAAGCCAATTATTCTGATCTGATTATTCCATAATGTATACATGTATTGAAATATTATTTTGTATCCCATAAATATAAACAATTATCAATGAAAATAAAAAAACCTGAATGGATATAGAACATTGGGAGAGAGAATTTTGTATAGTCAAGTTGACTAAAATTGAATGAATTTATTTAAAAGGTTTTACAAATTAGCCTTAATATAAAAAAATACACTTATGCAAAACTAGAATTTGGGTTTGGTGGCTCATGCCTGTAATCTCATCCATTTGGGAAGCTGAGGCAGGAGGATCAACTGAGGCCAGAAGTTCAAGACTAGCCCTGAGCAACATAGTGAGAACTTGTCTCTACAAAAAAAAAAAAAAAAAAAAAAATTGACTGGGCATGTATGCACCTGTAGTTCCAGCTACTGGGGAGACTGAAATGGAAGGATGGCTTGGGTCCTAGTCTCCCTGTCCCGGCCACTCTGAGCATGCCTGGTGTTCAGGTGTGTGTGTGGGCTGTAGACTTATTGCTTCTGAGGTTTAGGCAAGCGGGTCTCATATATTGTCCTGTTCCAGTTACTCCTTCCAGTTACTCCCACTTACTGAGGCTACAGCGGAGAGGACTGGAGCACAAAAGAGTCAACATTCTTAAGGAAACACAATTAGAAAGTGCAGCCTGGGCTGGGCGTGGTGGCTCAGGCCTATAATCCCAGCACTTTGAGAGATCGAGGCAGGTGGATCACTTGAGCTCAGGTGTTCGAGACCAGCCTGACCAACATGGTGAAACTCCGTCTCTACTAAAAATACAAAAAAATTAGCCTGGCATGATGGCACACTCCTATAATCCCAGCTACTTGGGAGGCTGAGGTAGAAGAATGGCTTGAACCCAGGAGGCAGAGGTTGCACTGAGCCGAGATCCCGCCATTGCACTCTAGCCTGAGCAAAAAGAGTAAAACTCCCATCTCAAAAAAAAAAAAAAAAAAAAAAAAGTGCAATCTGGGTTCCAACGCCACAGGAAATCCTGCATATGTTCCCTGCCCTCTCCTCCCCCTAGACTGGAAGTGGGGGCCAGCCCAGCTGCCCGCTCCCCTCAATATACCAGGTGCTAGAACACAGCTGTTTCTTCCTTGTTCCCCAACCCAGGCAGGCTGTAATTGGTGGGGCAGAGCAGGGCGGGGCTACCCCCGTGTTGAATCCACTGGGGCTATCTCCACTCCAGGCAAATCCAGCCAGAGACTGATTCTGAGCAGCAGTTCTGCCTGGTGAGAGCTGCCATGGATTGGTGGGGATAGGGGACTGGGAGGTCAGGAAGTGTCAGGTCAGGGTGGATCAGGAGCCCCAAAAGAAAAATTAGAATTGCCTGGAGAAGAACTCCTGCTAGACTGAGGGAGAAGGGTTAGGGAATTCCAGGGGCATGGAGGCTGTGGAAGAGGAGGGGGTGACTAGAGGAAGGGAGAGGCCAGGGAGCAGCAGGAATGCCTGGAGCTGGAAATGGCAAGCTGTACGTCTTGGTTTACTCTTTCCTTGGTGCAGTCTCCCTGTCTGTGCTATGGTGAGAACTTTCCTGCTTTAGCTGCCTTGCCAAGAGAAAGGGCTTCATGAAAGCAAAAACGACCTGCAAATTGAGGTCAGGAGCAGGAAGGTGTAAACTGAAGGGAGAGGGACCTCCTGCCCACCCCATGTCCTTGCCAGGTGAGGTGGAAGCAGGACATGCAAGCCTAAAGTCTGTGTTGTCTTCCCAGGCACTGACTCACTGGCCCTGCCATGCCCGCGCCACCGTTCCCACTGCTGCTTCGATTGCTGCTGTCCCGTCTGCTGCTGCCTGTCGCCCGCCTGGCCCGCCAGTACCTCCTGCCCCTGCTGCGCCGATTGGCCCGCCGCCTGGGCTCCCAGGACATGCGAGAGGCTTTGCTGGGCTGTCTGCTGTTCATTCTCAGCCAGCGACACTCGCCAGACGCTGGGGAGGCCTCAAGAGTGGACCGCCTGGAGAGGAGGGAGAGGTTAGGCCCCCAGAAGTGAGGCCACGAGTCCTGGCAGCAGCTGAATCCACAAAATGCTTTCTTCTGGAGTAGGATAATCCTGGCACCAGCACTGACCGAAGCCTGCCCAGTGGACAGAAGATATAGTGAGGGTTGTGCATGAGATGGATCTGCCACAGACATGCCTCTCCACTCCCAACAGAAATGTCTTTCTGGAAGAATGCCTTGCATCTAGCATGAAATCGATCATTGCCCCTCTGTCCTCCAGGAGTTCCTCCCAAAGACCACTCCTAATCACCTCTGGCCTCAGGTGGGAGGGGAACTAACACCCACCCACCCCTGCTGTCCCTGCAAATGAGAACATCAAGGTTCCCAATGCTTAACTGAGGGACAAGTGACAATTTAGCAGAGAGGAAAGATTTGAATCCAGACTGTCTTCCAGACTCAGGACCTACCTTAAAATAATATCTGAGTTCCCTATGGAGGCAGACCTGCCTGCACAGCCCAGCACTCAGCAAGTGCTCAATAAATATTTGATTTGAATTATTTCCATGCCTTTGAAAGTCTAATCACCCAGACTGTTGCCCTGCAAAACAGTTTAACCTGGCCTGGCAGCTGGTGGGTGTGGGGGAGAGGAGAGATGGACAATTGTACAAGGGTTTATTTTGCTACCTATTCTATTGTGGTTTCAGTCCTCACAGCCTGGAAGTTGTTTCCCCCTGCTTAGTTTCCGTCAGTATGTCACACTGTGACCCAGAAATGGCTTGAGCCTAGGAGGAAGTTTGCCTGGCTAGCGACCGGTAGGGAGGAAAATGTCCTCCAGCGAGTTTGAGGACTTCTCAGCTAGTGGTGGTGAGAAGAGGGGTGATACGTTTGCTAAGAGACTGAGTGGGAGGCCAGCCAGGGAGGCAGTGCAGAAATCCATCCCCTTGAGGGTCATCCCACACTTGAAGAGACTAGGGGTGGGTGACTGGCCTTAAGAACTGACTTCATCATTTCCTTCTCCCTAGTGGGAGGCCCCTGAGGGGTCAAATAAGAGTTAGACCCAGAAGAGTCAATCAACATGCTTAAGGAAACAGAAAGTACAGTCTGGGCTGGGCGCTGTGGCTCATGCCTGTAATCCCAGCACTTTGGGAGGCTGAGGCAGGCAGATCACCTGAGGAGTTGGAGACCTGCCTGACCACCATGGAGAAACCCCGTCTCTAGTAAAAATACAAAATTAGCTGGGCGTAGTGGCGTATGCCTGTAATCCCAGCTCCTCCAGAGGCTGAGGCAGGAGAATCGCTTGAATCTGGGAGGCGGAGGTTGCAGTGAGCCGAGATCGCGCCATTGCACTCCAGCCTGGACAACAAGAGCGAAACTCCGTCTTAAGGAAAAAAAAAAAAAAAAAAAAAAGATACATTTGCATCCCAGCCTCCGGATAATTTGTTTATTGTTTCCAGGCAATAATCCTCTCTCTCTGGGTGAATTTTGGGCTCTATCTAGGTTCAGAGGATAGTGAGGAGTACAGGACCCTGTCGGGATTCCAGTCGCCTCTCCACACCTGTCAGAAGGCTTGGTTGGGGAAGAAGTGAGGCCTGAGCTGTGTGCCCCACTCCCAGCCTTGCGGGGCTTTCTGCCAGCCGCACGCCGTCTCTCCCCACCACCCCATCGGCTTCCTTCGGGAGTCTTCAAAGCCAGTGCACGTGCTCCCAGGTCTCAGGGAGGCGACCTAGGGGGAGGGGTAGAGAGAAGGGAGTCCGAGACCCTGGGCCCCTAACCCCGTCCCTTTCCGAAGCCTCAGGTGCCCAAAGGCGCCGGCCGCCAGTCAGGCCCGACGGGCCCCTCCCACTGAGTCGGCTCTGCTTTCCCCGCCCCCGAGCCGTGAGGACTGGACAGAGCCGGCTGCGGAGCTCTGGGCGGGCGCTGGGGTCGCCTGTTGCAGCCTCTCTTCCGCCCGGCGGCCCGCACCGGTCAAGCCCGGCGCGGGCTGCGCTCTCCAGCCGTGGCTATGGCCCCAGCCCCGAGATGAGGAGGGAGAGAACTAGGGGCCCGCAGGCCTGGGAATTTCCGTCCCCCGCAAGTCCGGATGCCCGCTCCACAGTCTCAGCAGGTGCGCCGGGCGGGGCCGGGGGATCTGGGGGTGGGGGCGAGGTCTGCGCTGTTCCCACACTGCCCGGTGGGACAGGGGGCCAGTAGGGGAACCTGCTGGGCTACAGCGTCTCAGGGGAGTCTGAATCTTTGGTTTCTGGATGCGGGGCCACTTTTCTGGGACTTCAAAGGCCGTTATTAGATGACTGCCTCCCCAAACTCCCCAACCACTTACAGATGCCCCAGGAACGTAGCGTAGGGGGAAGAGATGTGGAAAATTAGGCTAGAAGACCAGCCCAGACCTAGCTGAACCAAGAATTAAGTCTTCTTGAACCCCGAGCCAGTACCCACACGTGTCTTTACTTAAAAATTTTTGATGTTTTATTCACCATGGAGTCTTTAAAAACAAAACAAAAACAAAAACCGAGTCTCTGTTGTTCAGGCTGGAGGGCAGTGGTGTGATCATAGCTTACTGCAGCCTCGACCTCATGGACTCAAGTCATCCTCCAGACACCTCAGCCTCCCAAAGTGCCGGGACCACAGGCATGTGTCAACATGCTTGGCTAAGTTTTTTTTGTTTTTTTGTTTTTTTTTTTAAGACATAGAGTCTCCCTACTATGCCCAGGCTGGTCTTGAACTCCTAAGCTCAAGTGATTCTTCTACCTTGGCCTCCCAAAGTGCTGGGATGACAGTGTGAGCCACTGCACTTGGCAACATGGAATCTTGATTTGTAGACATTGCATTAAAACTTATTTTGGTAAAGGCCGGGCGTGGTGGCTCATGCCTGTAATCCCAGTGCTTTGGGAGGCTGAGGCGGGCGGATCACAAGGTCAGGAGTTCGAGACCAGCCTGACCAATGTGGTGAAACCCTGTCTCTATTTAAAAAAAAAAAAAAAAAATTAGCTGGGCATGGTGGCACACGCCTGTAATCCCAGCTACTGAGGAGGCTGAGGCAGGAGAATCTCTTGAACCCAGGAGGTGGAGGTTGCAGTGAGCTGAGATCACACCACTGCACTCCAGCCTGGGTGACAGAGTGAGACTCTGTCTCAAAGGAAAAAAAAAAAAAAAAACTTATTTTGGTTACATTAAAATTTATCTTTTTTTTTTTTTTTGACAAGGTCTTGCTCTGTTGCCCAGGCTGGAGTGCAATGGCAGGATGATGGCTCACTGCAGCCTCGACCTCCTGGGCTCTAGTGAACCTCCCGCCTCAGCCTCTGGAGTAGCTGGAACCACAGGCTCGAGCCACCATGCCTGGCTAATTTATTTTAATTTTTTTGTAGAGATGGGGTCTCACTATGTTGCCCAGGCTGGTCTTGAACTCCTGGGCTCAAGTGATCCACCTTGGCCTCCCAGAGTGCTGAGATTTCAGGCATGAGCCACTGCTCTTGGCCTAAAATTTATCTTGATTAATGAGGTTTTTGGCTCCCCCTTACATTTTACACCCCTGGCAAGTGCCTCACTGGCCTCTCCCTAGTCCCAGCCCTGTCACAAGGCCATGGAGATATAGTCACAAACACAACTGAGAACATAGACAGTCATGAGACATGTGCTGGTTACCAACCCCCAGGCCAAACAAACACACTTCCAGCAAACACAGATGACTTGTTGGTGACAGCTGAGAGGACACAGGCCTGGGGAGAGAGAGGACTGTGTGTGAGGTGGTAAGTCATGCTTGGGGCCTGCCAAGTGGGGGAGGGAGTCTGGGGCAAGCCACCGTCCCATATAGGGTGGTGGATAAGGTGGAGAGTAGGGGTGCAGCAGGACCAACCCTTCCCACCCCACCCCTTCGACAGGGACCTGAGGGAGCTCAGGGAGGGAGAGAGGCCAGAAGACCAGGCAGAGACTGAAGAGAGCTGGCAAGGCTTGGCTAGAAAAACTCCAGGCAAGGCCTGTGTGACTTGGGGCTCCCCAGGCTGTCCAGCAGGGGGCCCTGGCACCCAGCAACCTCCTCTGCTTGGGAGGTGGCTACAGAGGGGTGTGGGTGCTGGCTAGGGGCCCAGCAGGATGGATGCCAGATGGACTTCTCTCCAACAATAACAGCACTGGCTGTTGCCGTCCGCCTAGCCAGCAGGGCCCCAGCGCGGGTGGGGAGAGGAACCAGCCTTCCCCAGTCTGGCCTGAGACCCTCACCACTTCCCTCCAGTTTTCTTCCACCTCCAGTCCCCTTTGTACACAATTGCAGCCACTGGCCACCAGCCTTGCCATGCCTGGCAGATCTTCTGACCACTAGCCCTGCCACCCCCACAGACCCAGAGACCAGGAAAGGAGGGTGGGGAGCGAGGAAGGGGGCCAAGGCAGAGGGGAGAGGAGGACTAGGAGAGGAAGAGAGAGAGACTGGACAAACATGAGGGTGGGAATTAGGGGGTTGTGGACAGACATGAAGCCACTCTCAAGTCACGGAGCAGTGCCTAGAAAAATACCACCCAAACCCATCTTCCTGCCCTCTGGTTAGGGCTGGCGGGGATGTGGGGGATGGGTGGGGTAGGTGAGGGTTGGGAAGGGATATGTGTGTCATCTCTGTGGGGCATGGAAACACAAGGCTGGGGACACCCATTCTGGAGTAGCTTGGGGAGAGCCACTGACCCTAAGTAGAAAAGCCACCTCTCTCCTTAGGGCTCTGTTTCTCTGGGGACAGGATAGGACTACCTTATCCCTATGATGTGAGGTACTGCCAATTGTTAATCAGTGTCTGTGGCTTCTCCAGGGGACAAGCCCTTCGGGTCAGTGGGCATGGGGTGAGCAGTGTGGATTGGATTTTCTCCTCAGGACCTTTCCAGCCTTAGGATCACGCTCTAGCACTGAGTGCTGCTGGAAGGGCAGGGAGTGCACCCCACCCCACCCCATTTATTGCTCAACCAAAGAGAGGGCCTCCCTCCCCCTCCCTTGGAGGGACTTGCTGGACCACCCCTCAGCACGCCCACACCTTCCTCCTCAGCTAGTGGAGGACGTGATCAGCAAGGCTTCCGCCTCTCAGGACGGCTGGGACAATAGGATTCGCTCAGGATGTAAAGCTGTTCCTGGCTTTTTCTCTTCCCATTCCCAGCTGTGCCTCAGTTTTCCAAAGTGCTGGATTTAGAAAGGGTGAATTATGAGGGAGTTGGAGGGTTGTGCCCCTGTCCCCCTCCGCGCGCACACACAAGCACAGGCAGAGGCACATACCCCCTCCAAGTCAAAGTTGTGGGTGGTGTGGTGTTTGCGCGTCTGTGGCTGGGACTGGATGTGTCAGGGATGGGGAAACCATCATGCTGGTCACAGAAAATGGGAGGTGGGGACAGAAGCAGTTTTGAAGGAAAATAAGAGGGGGACTGAAAGAAAGAAGGGGGCGTTGAAAGGGAGGGCGCTGGGAGGAAAAAGGTGCAGTGTGGAGGAAGCGCGGCGTGGGCGGGGCTTGGGAAGAGATAACGGAACATCTGAGGTGGAGTGGGCCGTAGGCCGTCGGGGCCGTTCTGAGTAGCGGGTGTGTAAATGGAACAGTCCC